CAACTCTTGGGCTTCCAGAAATATTCCCTTTATCTTTCCATCCATGGTGCTGCCCTTCCCTCCACTCACTCGCAGGGAATCATTGTCCCTCCCTTGGGAAGGGCAGGTACTCATATTCCTTCCCTATATCCTAGTCAGAAGAAAAATGGGATAAGGTTGGCAGTTTGAGGGAAGCACCTGGCTACGTTGGTGAAAATTGTATCAGAATCTTGACTGCAAGAAAGGATCGCCATTCATAACAGCCATTCGTAACCCTTGCCAAGGGTTTTCAGATATGATGTAGAGTAGAATACCTGTGTGTGGAGTTTGCTGCTTGTTCTTCATGTACAGACTCTATATTCTCTTCACACCTTGAAGATGGATGTAAAATCATTATTGACTTTCTGCCAGCTGCACACTTTATCTTTTCAGTAACAAAATGCTTAATTTGAACTGCTACATACAATACTTTAAACATTCACTTCTTAAGCCTTAACAGTAGTCAGTTTATAACATAGTTTTTGTATTTACAAAACCCAATTTTTGTGTAGAATTCTCCATTTGCTCTCATTTGTCTTACTAGAAATCCTGTGAAAAAATAAAATGAAGCTTCTACTGTAAAATTTGTAGAAAATAAAGGAGACATTCTTCTTTTTAATTGCTAATAGCCCACTTTACTCAAAGTATTATAAACAGTAATTAACATGCATTTTTCCTTCAAGACCTATTAATTAAATTTACAATACTAAAGCAATCGGCCTTTGTAATGCTACTTTTTAAAAAACCTCAATACAAGTTAAATTGTTGAAGAGAAAAATAACCTTAAGCATTATGATCAAATCTCAATAGAAGTAAGTATACCTAAAGCAAAAAGTAGCATAATTATAAGGAGAAAATGACTGAGAAACACATTAAACACCCACTTGTTGACCAGATATTCCAAATGACATTATGTGTAGTTTAACTTTGCAATGCTCAGTAGGAATAAGATCCTCCGGAAGTAGAAATAAGATCCTCTGGAAAAGGGCGCTTTTTCCGGAGGATCGGGGCCAGTGTAGACGCTCTTTTCCGGCTTTTCTAAAAGCCGGAAAAAAGCGGCGGACATTTTTATTTAAATGCCGCGGGGGATATTTAAATCCCCCGCAGATTTCCCTATTAGGATCTCTGAAATTAACATTCCCCTTTCGGAAAAGGGGCCAATGTAGACGAGCCCATAGGGTGTGTCTAGACTACATGGCTCCGTCGACAGAGCCATGTAGATGAGTTTACTAGACATAGCAAAATGAAGCGGCGAGCTAAATAATCGCACTTCATTTATATCAAAATGGCCGCCACACTGTGCCGATGATCAGCTGATCCAGCAGAGAGGAGCAGTCTAGATGCACCTCGGTCGACAAGAGAAGCCTTTGTCGTCCGCTCCGGAAAACCTCGTTTCACGAGGCATACCGGCGCGGTCGACAAAGGCTTCCCTTGTTGACTGCAGTGCATCTAGACTGCCACGCTGTGCCAGATCAGCTGATCGTCGACACAGCGCAGCGGCCATTTTTATGTAAATGAAGCACAATTATTTAAATTGCCGCTTCATTTTGCTATATCTAGTAAACTCATCTACATGACTCTGTCGACGGAGCCATGTAGTGTAGACACACCCATATACATGGATGCTTGTAGGAGCTGATGTGTTATAAATCCTCCTATTCCCCGCTCTTAAGTCACACAAAAAAACTGCAATTTACACACATGAAAGTCAGTCGTGAGGAAAAAATTCTTGCTCTAAGTTGTTTTGATGTACATCCAAGTTTTTTGGAATGGATCTTGGACTTATAAGTGAGGACGGCCTGTAGCTAAGAACACTTAACATATTCTTTTCAGAGCCAGGAAATTATATATATAACTATATAACTATTATAATATATATAACAATTCTGGCCCCTCTTTTCCCCTTGTCTCTTCATCCTCTGCTCATACTCACACTGCACTGGATAGGCCTGGATTACTTGAAGTTTGCTGGTAGAACAATCTATTCATTATGTGGGATGCAACCTCTGATTCAGCTGATTTATTAAATATTGACAAAAGCTGCTTGGCTTTGGAAAGAACATGTTAAATGATAAACATGGACCCCGTATGGCAATTCGATAGTCAGATTGTAATATGCTCCTCTCCCTGCCATTCTTCTGCTGTTATCTTTATCAACAGGTGACAGGCTGCTGATGAAATTATTTGAAAGGACAGTCTCTCTAGCTATTTATACTTCTTGCATTGACCTACTTTTTCAGGATGGGGGAGGAGTTAGTGAATGCATCTATTGAAGATGCTCTGTCTCCCCACCTTGTGTGCCTTTTAAAAGGAGACAAAATTGTTCAGCTCCTCAGTGATGAGGTGACTACAGTACTGCTAACTTTTGCAAGTATGTTGATGTGACTTTTGTTTGGTCATAAGTATGCCTCCCCCCCCCCTGCTGCCCCGGCTGGGATTCTGCCTAGCGAATGGCAGACAAGGAAGAGAGGCCATGCATACTGAGTAATACATTGCGATTGCAGAAATGGTTCCAGTGGCAAGCCTCTCCAGAGAGCTCCTGTTGCCTGTGAAGCGTTGCCTCCGCCATTCTCCTAGGGTGTAATACTGGTGCACTGGCCCTGAGGGCCACTCTCCAGCTAACCAGTGTGACAGAGAGAAATCCTCTTGCCAGAAGTCCCTATCTACAGATGGGGGAGGGGTGGGAATCAGTTGGAAAAGTTGGGATAGGAGTTGGGATTGTAGAGGGGAAAAATCAGGGGCACTTTCAGAGGGAGGAAAGAGAGAAGGGGGCACACAAGGTGGGGAGACAGAGAGAAAGGATGTTCCTTGATAGAGGTGGAATGGCCCCTACTAATTTGCCAAGTAAAGACACCAGAATGAAGCAAAATGCCACCAAGGCTCCTCACAGGAGACTAACGTAAGTGAGGGCCTGGAATTGCTTAAGAGAGGAGCAATTACTAGGCAGGAGAGGTTGTGTGGCTTGGCTGGGGCCTATCTGGACCACTTAAGAAAGCCACACTATCTAAGGTCCCTGCAGACTGGTTTCTAGTGTACATATGTTAGAAGAGTTGGTGTCATGTGGGCATGTGTCTTTGTATATAATTTGGCTGACCCAACTCTGGACTGTGTAAATAAACAGTGTTTCCACCTTGCTTTGAATGGAAGCTCCACACTAGCCTTGATTTCTCCCTTCCAATCTCAGCTTGTCACAAGTCCAGAGAACCAGAGAGGAAGGTTCTACCACCTTTGAACTTTTCGTGGTCTGTGGGCCAGTCCGAGCTGCTCTTGCTTTTACCTGGGTCCCTGTGGCACCACTCTGACAACCAAGAATAGTCTGAACATATAGCCAGCCGCCCCGGGCCATGGCTCTTTTCATCTGCATCAAGGGACTGTGAGGGATGCAGCACAGACACACTAGCTGAATGCTGCCTGGCTATTCCTCCCTTTGTTGAGCAAATTCCCTGCATGTTGGTTCCACTGGGTTTGCTCTGCGGTGATCCAGAGAACTACAGAGCACTGACCCTTACTGCAGCACCACATGATTGTCTGAAGTGATAAATAAAAACAGAATTATCAGACACTGAGGAGAACATTATATGAGGTGGACTGTTAATGATGGGGGCAGTATAGAAGTATACAAAATAGTGAGTAGACATTTGGATGTTTCTAGTTACTCAGCTCATAGAAACAAGGGAGTAATGATATTAAAAGGAATCAAATTTAAAACTGATCATAGGAAATTTTAAAAATAAAGTACCCGATGAATTTGTGAAATGCAGTGCCACAAGCTATTGCTTGAGGCTAAGATCCTCGCAGGATTTTAAAAAGGATTGGCGCATTGCACTATATGGATTGTGAAAAGACCTACTGTTATGCTATACAGGATTACTTTTTAAAGAGCAGGGAGAAGTCCATTAGCGGTGGGCTATTCCATTAATGATCTTCATTGGAATCACAGAGTACTAGATGCTCGAGACAGGAGAGTACATCAGACAGACAGATCTGATCTGATATGGCAATTCCTATGAATGTTTTCTAGAGAATGTGGGATTTAGTGGATGTATTGTGAGTTGCTCCTTCTTTGTCTCAGATAGGAAACCTTTCTGAGCACATGGAAAGCTGCATCTATTTTGGAACTATGACCTTTAAGACATGCATAAAAACAATAACTTCTCATGCACCAGATGCACATATGACACACCAGGAGCCTGACCACTTGGATGCCTGGCTTATCTGGAGAAAGGTCCCTAAGAAAAAAGTAAAATTTATATCAAGGTCCTGTGCATTGTATTATTCTACAGCATCTGCGCCTTGGCAATAGAATTGTGCTTCAGAATGTAAGGTCAAAACTGGATGCCCAAAGTTAGGTAGCTAGATCCCCATTTAGACTGCTAAATAAAAGAGACTTCATTTTCAGAAGTGCACAGTATGAACAGTTTGTAGTGACGTCAATAGGAGCTGTGTGTTTTCAGCACCCCTGATACTTTTATTTCAGTGGCTAACTAAGGATAACAACTAACTTTAGCACCCTTGTTTGACAATTTGAGCCCAAACAGGGCTTTTCAAACATTTTTCTAGCCCCCAGCATTTATAAACCTATTAAAATAAGGAGAAAGCCAAATTCAGTGTGAAAACATGGTTCTGTTCCTGATGTGCAGCTAGCAAACTTCTCACATGCCCCACAGGATGAGGGATATCCCATTTCTCAGAGGACTTTGGACCAAGGATCTGCAATTACACTCTCTGCCAACTACTGCTGGGCTACGTCTACACTGGCATGAATTTCCGGAACTGCTTAAAACGGAATACTATTCCGTTTTCAGTTTTTCCAGAAAAGGAGCGTCTACATTGGCAGGCTGCTTTTCCGGAAAATCCCTTTTTCTGGAAAAGCGTCTGTGGCCAATGTAGATGCGCTTTTCCAGAAAAGAGCCCCAATTGCCATTTTCGCGATCGGGGCTTTTTTCCGGAAAAGACTACTGGGCTGTCTACACTGGCCCTTTTCCAGAACAGTGTTCCGGAATAAGGACTTATGCCGGAGTAGGAGCAGAATAGTTTTTCCGGAATAGCGGTTGATTTTGTACAGTATAGCATCGTTGCTTTTCCGGAAATTCAAGGGCCAGTGTAGACAGCTCGAAAAGCGGCTGATTTTCCGGAATAAGTGGCCCAGTGTAGACACAGCCCTGCAATGACTTCTAGGCACATATTCTGCCCCTCCTTTTCCCTACTGGCAGTGCTAGCACTATAAGGGCCCTCTGCAATGCTTCCCCTCCTGTCCTTAGAGTGACAAACTTAAAAAACAACAAAAGGTCCAGTAGCGTGACAGGAAGCCTGGCAGAGAAAGCCCCGCACCACTGGCCCTAGCAATACAACCAAGGGAAAGGCAGGGATGAGCACAGATCTGGCAGGAGAAACTCCAGTGAGGCTGAGGAAGAGAAAGGAACCAACGAGGGACTGAGGTTGGGAAGGAGAGGGAAAAGTATTAAAAATGTGATGTCTTACTATGCACCTCATTTGTAAAATCCCACATTTTGTCCTTCATTTTAGATCCCATCGCCCACAATACAGCATTAAAGGCGGAGCTGTATAGTGGCAAAGCTAATGAAAAATAATAAAATCATTTTCTGTTTTTTTTTTGTATTTAATTTCATGCTGGTTACTGTAGCACTCCAAAACCAGGGACAAAATTAATAGATGAAGCAAAGTAGGAGAAGTATATAGGAGGTTAAAAGGTGTTTGGAATCCCAGAGAAATATTCCATCCATTTTCCATTTGCAGTTTGACAGAACGTTTGGATTGCTCATACTGAGCTACAACCTAGACTGCTTTCAGAGTACATAATTTTCCCTGCAATACTTTAGCAAACAGTTCACAATCAACTTAGGCTTTTTATTCCTAGCATTTCAGCAATGTGAAATGTAATTTATACGGAAACTAATCTTAAAACATCTCCCTTTTGACAAGCACTGGCCAAAATTCAGCTGAGCAGTCTTCTAAAATATAATCCAGTGTGTGAAATTTTGGAGATAAAACACCTATGAAACACAGACACAATCATGATATGTAATTTTCAGAGCCAAAGAGAGCTGTACTGATGTCAATAAATAATGTAGAATAGTCACATCTGAAATTAAAGCATGTTTCTCTAGTCTAAAGGAAACCAGAAGTATATTCCATTTTTAAATTGTTAGTGGCATCCCAGTGTTTGTAACTTTACAATGTTTTCTACTGTTCTGCTATCTGTTCATCTTAAGATAAAAAGGCAAAACATATTTATTTAAAATCAAGTGGGCAAAAGTCCTGGTAAAAAGTTGTACCGCTTTAATTGCAGAGGGAAACTGCATTCGGGTACTGATCCTGTCTAAATAATATAGTATTTTGCTCAAAATATTCTTAAAGATTTTTTTTCTGCCAGTGCTGACAGTAAGAATAGAATATGTGCTCTTAGGAAAATGACACATTAGCTTGTCATGATCATCAATAAAAAGAATTAGCAACATTTTCTCATTAGATGTACAATACAATCATATGTTCAAACACATTTAGATATATATAAAGCAGAAAGCAGCAACAAAGATATTCTTTCATGATGCTACTCCATTGCTCATGGTTAACTATACATAAATATTGCTGTTACATCATATTCAGCATATTTTCAATAAAATAGTAAAACCACAGAGTGCATCATAAAATGTTACAGAAAGCTTTTTTATTTTTGAAATAGCATCGGAAAATATTCTCTGCACCGTTTAACACATCATTCTTATTTAATGGTAAAGGTATGTATTTAAAGTATTCACTTACTCTGCTAAAGCTGTACTGTTGAAGGAATGATCCTGAATGCTGAAACAGAAACAAGAAAACATCAGATACTCAATAAATCAGTCTCTCTAAAAGCTTTTCAGTTGCTGGAACACAAACACAAACATGGCATTGCAAGGCAAATCTCTGTGTTAGCTCTACATACACATACCGTACGCTGGGCTGCTCTGCACATGCTCATAATCAAAGAACCATGGGGATTAGCCCTGCAACTCTCACAACCACAAAGCCTATCCAGCAGTGCTTTCAATATATGAACACAGGAAACCAGGAGATTCTCAAAAATGGGTGACACACCTTTGCAGTTACAACTATATTGTTAAATAACAACTGGAGCTTCTAGCACATCGAGCCAAGTGTTTGGCATTCAGATTCTTTAAACATTTGAGTATTCACAATTTACTTAATATGTGCTATGCTGTATTTACTACTTGAAATAGAGATGATCAATTAAGGTTCTCATGAGACTTTTCTTCAGTTGTCTCTCACAGATTATGCTGATAGCACAAACTCCAAGGGAAGCTGTGAAAAAAAAATTAATTTGAATTGGAAGGAAGGGCTGCTAAATTAGCAAAGAATTTTTAAATGAGCAGCAAAGAAATTGCTTCTGTAAAATCCAAAATAATCCTGTAGTACAGTGTTGGCAAATCTAGCTTTATAAATCTATAAAGGGTCAAATAAGGATACAGTCAAATATGCTGATACTGAGATAGTCCGGAGTTCCCTGTCTACTTGCAAATGAAGAATCTAGTAAATAGACTGCTAGATCATCTGACAATAGAA